GCCAAGAATACAGTTTTCTCCCCTTTAAGTTCAGTATTCTCAGCTTCAATCTCTGTAAACTTCTTTCTTAATTTATCAATTTTTAGGACAAGCCTGGAATTTAATTCTCTTAATGATTCTATTGTGGGTTGCATATCTGCCATTATTTTTATTTAAGATACGGATATATTCAATTCATCGTGAAGATAAAAAAGTCATGTGCGCGTGACAATTTGTCACGCTGACGCCAAGAAAAATTCTCGATCATATGCAAGTTAATAGACATCGATATCAATACAATAAATAAATTCACAAAATACACATGCAAAAGTAAACGATTAAACATGATTATGTATGTAAAATCTGCACCAGGACCAGCTTTATTATATATATATATATAAGTCAGAAAACGATTTGCTCGTTTATTACTTCACAAACCCACCAATATCATTCCGAAATCTGGCACTCATGTATACATTTGTAAATTCCTTGTTATGCCGGAAATGTACGACATTTAATCCCTTCTCCTCACATGGCCAGTATGGACTCGATACAATAGAATCCTCTCTAGAAAAATGGATGATCCAAACTTCCAGAGGACGAAGTTTATCGGCATATTTAAAAACTTGCTTGAAATGTTTCTCTAACGTCGATACGGATCCCGTTGCAATAAGTTCGAGTACGGCTAAAGGGGTGGGGTCATCCTTTTTTTTTATCATCAGGTTATTATAACAGTGATGGTAGCCTTCATCATTACACATTCCCTCTAAATGCCATTGTCCAGTTATTTCGAAATCATAAACCTTTGCGAGCCAATTATGCAGGATTCGGTACATCTCTGCATCGTAGACGCTCTCTCTAGGGACATACGTGTTACACTTGGAATCTACAAGCAAATGGTTCGAACTTTTGTAGGAGCGGGAAGATCCTAGTGCAATCGTTTTTGGGTCAAATATGCGAACAGCAGACTTTATCACTTCAAGAACGTCCACTAATCCATTGGCTCGCAATGGCATATCTATATCAGGACAAAAGCAATCTATATCAGGAAGCACGCGTGGCTTTTTCTTCGGCAATGGATTTATTATATTTGTGCTTCGCCTTTTTCCTGATATAGAATGATGATAGTGATGGCAATGATGATAATGCTGACGGTGACGACGATGATGGCAATGACAATACTTCCTTTCCTTCGCTAGCATTATTCCATAAGCTACTTACTTTATTCATATCGGCCTATGCAAAAAAGTTCGAATGAGAAATATTTCACAATAAGGATAATCAAATAAAAGTGCCGTATTTTCGCGTAATAACGCGCAGGGTGTAATTTCGAAATTTGGCCTAAATTAAGTTTAATTCGGGACAAAATTCGAAATAACGCTCATGGGCGTTATTACGCGAAAATACGGTGATAAGATGGCTGAATGCAGGAATATGCCAATAGTAAAGTTTTTGTTAATATATAAAAGAAGGTATATAACCGATTTCTCCTCTAGAACTAGCAGACCTTTATCAAAAACTTATATCATATTAGCATCATCCATCATGTTTACTAGGGCGAAGTTAATAAACGCATCCAATTCAGTACTTGTAAGGGCAAATGGTACCCCAGTCCTATCAGGGCGAAGTTAACAGGTACAAGCACCTGGCTATAAACCACCATCTATCTAAATTTATTCTCAATATACTTACCCTTTTATTTTTTAAGAGATTCGAAGTAATGTTACGAACTTCTTGAGACATGCAAGGATCATTATTAATATCATGTATTGCGTTATAAAAGGCACGGTGAGCTTCCTTTTTCTCAGCACATTCATAGTTATTGATGATCAATAAATCGTAATGTCGGAGTGACCAATTTTCATATGGAATGAATTCAAAATATTTAGTGTAAGGGATGTTTTTAGAGGTTTTTTGAGCGTAGTGAGTAGTCATGATATC